TTTATCTAGGAATTTGCTCATTTCATCTAAGATATCTAAATTCTTGGGATACAGTTGTTCATAGTATTCCTTTATAATCCTTTTTATTTCTGTAAGGTCAGTATTGATGTCCTCTCTTTCATTCCTCATTCTAGTAATTTGAGTCTTCCCTCTTTTTTTCCTTGTCAGTCTAGTTAAAGGTTTGTCAATTTTGTTTTTCTTTGCAAATAAACCAACTTTTGGTTTTGATTTTCTCTATTGTTTTCTATTCTCTACATTTTTTTTCTTCTCTAACCTTTATTATTTTTTTCTTTTTGCTTGCTTTGGATTTAGTTTGCTTTTTTCTTTCTATTTTCTTAAGGTGGAATATTAGTTTTTGATTTGAGAGTTTTTTTCCTTTTTAATATAGGCATTTACAACTATATGTTTTCCTCTGAGCACTGCTTTAGCTGCATTCCATAAGTTTTGGTATGTTGTGTATTAATTTTCATTCATCTCAACATACTTTTTAATTTCTCTTATGATTTATTTTTTTACTCATTTGTTATTTAGTATTGTGTTGTTTAATTTCACATATTTGTGAAGTTCCCAAATTTCCATCTGTTATTGATTAGTAATTTAATTCCATTTTGGTTAGAAAACATAGTTTGTATGATTTCGTTCCTTTTAAATTTATTGAGACTTGTTTTATGCCATGACATATGATAAAATGTCCTGTGGTTGACTCTAATCCAGGAGGGCTTTTCTTGGCTGTCCCTGATTCACTATATTAAATTTCTGCCTGCTCTGCCATTCTGCTTGTATCAGAGCTTTGAGCCTCTTCTTAATGGTTTTTTTTCTTTTTGTGAGGAGGATCAGCCCTGAGCTAACATCCATGCCAATTGTTTTTTTTTTTCTTTTTGCTGAGGAAGACTGGCCCTGAGCTAACATCTGTTGCCTTCTTAATTGGTTTTCGTCAAGATTTCCATTTTTTTTTTTGGATAGTGCTCTTAGGCATGAGGTTCTCTACTCTCTGTTCCAAATAAAGTTAATCTCCTCAGGTAGAGGTGTGCAGGTCTGTGTCCTTATGGCGTGCCTTTCCCTACAATAGAACCTCTGTGCCACTGCATCTGGGGTCGGGGGCCCACTTTTCCCAGAGTGACACCCCACTTTTTGGGTGGGTACTGGGTGGGAAGGGTGGTGGCTGCCTCTGGTCTTCTTGACTTACTCCTCCTGGCAGGAAACCTCAACCCTGTGAGCAAACTGGGGTGCTAGCAACCAGGGCCTAGTATTGTTAGTCTGCTGGGCCAGGAGTAGCGCTTCCACCAAATGAGTGTGGACTGGCTGGAGGAAAGGAGACCAGCTCTCTGTGTGCCTGCCCGGGACAGACCTCTGTACCTCTGGGCTGAAGTGATGAGAAACACCAGAAGCCTGCACCCTCTAGGGTGAAACTAGCCCCAGACTGGGAGCTGAAGGGAAAGGGAGCCCCTGTCTTGTCTGCACACACCTGAGGTGGAGCTTCTATAACCCAGAGCTGGTGGAGTGGGGGTAATGGAGCAGGTCTTGGTTCAAACGCCACAGACTTTTGCCTGTTCTGACTGAGATTTAGTAGATTTTCTTGAATTAATGTTTCTCCATTTGCTGTATACCCTTAGGACAATTTCCAGAGACTTTAAATTTATTTATTTATTTTTTTAAATAATGTTCACCAGTTAAAATGCGGTTTTGCTGGGGAGAGAGTCCACCGAACTCTTTACCTTGTCATTCCAAAATTTCCACCCTGTTTTTAAGCTTTTAATATCAGATTTTGGATCTTCTTTCTATAAAAGACAAGGAAGTTTTCATTACCAAATATGATTTCCTCAAGGTATTATGTTTATACTAACAAAATAAATTATACTTTGTTTATTGTAATAAGTTTACCAGAAAGCTTTCAACCAGTCTGGAAGGTGGCATTATTTTTCTTCTATGGACCAGGATTTTGACTTTAAACTCTTTTTCCACATCGCCTTTCAATTTGATGATCCAGACCATTCCCAGGCTCCATAAATATTCCTTTTGGAATAGATAGCATTATAGACAGGTCCCACCGGCATACCCATCCCACTTGAAAATTTACAAAATTCTTTTCCGTTTTATACTATTCCGTTTTTCTTCACAGGCTGATGTGCAGGAAGTATCAGTATCTGCTAATTAAAAACTGGAAAACCAAGGCAGAGTATGGCACTGGGGCTGAACTGATTCATTCAGCTAACAGTAATTGCCTACTCAGTGACAGGCAACTTGCACATGTTCCTTTTATTGCTTATAAATGTGTTCTAACCTAGATCCATTATTACTCTGGTGGCAGTATTTTAAAGTTATTAATTTAAACTTGACATATTTTTTGAGCCTAATTATACAGAATAGCCATTCCTTTGGAGGGAAAAGTTTTGTAGAAAATTGTAGGATTTAGTTTTCTGAACTGAGTCTTTGGAAAGAAAGCCGTAGCATCTGTGAAGCCAAGCAGTCATATTAAGCTTTGGCAACAGGAGAGAAGGGACAACTCTGTGTGTGAAATGAGGCGGTGGAGGTTGGCAGCCTGGGGAAGAACCACCGCTCAGGAGGCCTTGGGTTTCTCTTGAATCTTCTTTGTACTGCTAATTCCAGGATGCTAGACAAAATAATTGTATTTTCTCTGCTTCAGTTTTTTCCTAACTTTAATTGGAGAATAATGACTTCTGCACATTGGATTGTGGAGGAACAAATAGTGTAAATTGACAGAGAATTTTATAAAATCAGAAGTGCTTTAGGAACGTTCAATACAGTGGTCCCTGTCTATAGTGCTGCCCTCTCTCAAACCAGGGATAAATATGCGTCTGTCCTAGGTCCCACCCAAAGCTAGTCATGACGGAAAGTTCTGAATGGACTTTAGTAAAACACCTTCACTTGTAACCTGGCTTAAAGTGTGATCTTAGGAACAGTGTGATGTAGCAAAGCACACATGTTGCATGTATGCTGTATAAAGGGTACTTTTCTATTTCCCATTCCCTTTGCTAATAGAGAAGAGATAGAACTCATAAGCCAAATATTTATCTTAATACCTTCAAACTCATTCTTCCAAATTTTTCTGGTTATTTTCAGAAGAAAAGCTAAATTGAGGTCACTCTTGCTTTCTTTGTCTCTCACAGTAAGATGGCCAAATGACGTGAACAGCAGTAGAGAGAAGAGCAGGATGTGTGAATAGTTCACCTGCGCCGTCGATCCTAACTGTTAGATCATTGCCTTCATTATTTGGTTAGAGTGTATAAGGTAAACAGTGGCTCCTAAACTGGAAGCTCTTGACCCTAGGGTGTTCTGTTTTTCATTTCTTAGCAGCCAATCAACTTTAAGACATGAAGGGAAAATCCAGAAAATAATCATAAAGCATTCCTTGGAGAGAGTTTCCAAACATGAATAACAAATAACCAGCCCCCTTCATTGAGCTCAGGTGCTGTACTTGGTACTTTACTGCATTATCTCACTCATTTCTAACAACAACCCAGTGAGGAAGGAGCCTTTCATCTCCACTTTGTGAAGAGGAAACTGTGGCCCAGACAAGGTAATGGAAACTTATCCCAGGTTACACAGCTTCTGGAAACAGGATGGACATTTTAAATAATTAAATTAAAAACAAATATTTTCCAAATTACTCGAGTAGTACATATTCTTTGTGAAAAAAATAAATCAAAGATATAGGAAATCAAATTTTTAACAGATCACCAATAACCATATGTTTATATGTGTGTATATGATTACACACACACACTCAGAAAAGTGTGAAACATACATAGTAAGTTGATAGCATTGGTTAACCCTGGAGAAGGAAGGTGAGAAGGTACCGGAATGGAAGTGATGGTTGAAAAAGTCTTTAGCTATATCTTGAATGTTCTGATTTTTTGCAAGGAGAATGTTTTCATGTATTAGTTATGCAAATTTAAGTTAATAATTAAAAAACTCTTAAAGAATGAGAACAGAAAGCCACATTCCAGATAAAGTATACTCTTCTTTGATTAACCTCTTTACCCCTTTTCTGGTTGACCTCTTCTTCATCATAATCTCCACCCGAGAATGTTTAAAACTTTTCAAAGATAATGTGTCCATGAGGTACATGATAGAGTGAGATTATATAATCATTGATCATGAAGTATAAGGCAGTATACCATGGTGGTTAAGTGCACAGGCCCTGGGTCCAGACTGCCTGGGTCTGAACTGGCTTCCCCATTGTATGAGCTCTCTGTGCCCCAGTTTCCTCATCTATAAATTTGGGGTTGTTGTGAGGCCTAAATGAGTTACTATCTGTACAGTACTTAGAACAGTGCTTGGCACATAGTCAGATCCGTAGAAGTCAGAGCCATATAAGAGTTAGTTACTGTTATTATTATTATTGTTATCCTAACACTCAGAAAAAACTAGGATAAATTGTTGTATAGCCATCTGGACTTTTTTCTGTGTGTGTGTACTTATACATCTACATACATGGATGTACACCTACATTTATGTGGGTAAATATAGATGTATTTTTTATTAAAATTGGATCATACTATTTCTATTTATTGTGACCTTCTTTTGTACTCAACACTATATATTATAAACATCTTTCTAGGCCCTTAAATGAAATAAACGTTTAAAATAAAATGCAGATGTATTTGGTCTTAACTAGTTGTAATAGCATAGATCCTTTTGGCCAAATACATGAGCATAAGATAAGACAGAAGTTTCTTGGCACTATACTGAGAATCTGGAGTGCTTATCAGTGTTGATAGAGCTTACTTAAATGGTTGGATGGGCATTGATACCCCCTACCTAAGTGTATGGTTGTTCATCTTATTTGTTAAGCAGTGATAGTCAAGCTTTGTAAATGTTTATCTTCAGAGCCAATATGCATGATAGAATGCTATTTTTAAAGTACCACTGTGGGAAAGACTCTTGGAATACAGTTCTTTGTAAGAATAAAAATATGTAAAAAGTATGTTGGTTATTAAGAAAATTATTTCTTCCTGTACTTCTTGCTGGCTTTTCAGGAGATGTTTCACAAAACAGAAGAATTCTTATCCAAAAGGACAGAGAGTGAGATGGATGAGATGGACACCTCAGATACGCAGTGGGGCTGGTTTTACTTGGCAGAATGTGGGAAGTGGCACATGTTTCAGGTATGTCGTGTCCTCAAATGTAGCAGAAGGGTTGAGAGTCACTTAGCATCATCCTGCTGATGTCTAAAATGAGTGTGAATGCAGAACCTGAAAGAAATCAAACCTTAAGGAAATCAGATAGCCTAACTAAAAGAAAAATTAGAAATTCTTCTCGTTCTTTTCCTTTTCTTTTCCCCAGGTTTTCACAATAATTTATTTAGAAGAAACAATATGTGTTTTCTCTGTGTACAGAGGGCGAATATGACTGAGAGTTGCATGGTATCAGTACATCTGAGCAACTCCAAGTTTGATTTGGTGGACAAAGAGAAAGGGAAGAGAACAAGCCCATATTAAACACCTTCTGTATGCCAGGTATTATGTTAGGTGTTGTACATATATCTTCTCCTTTATCTTCACAACAGCTCTGAAGCAGATCTTAAGACTGTCTTAACAGCCAAAGAGAGTGAAACTCAGAAAAGTTAACGTAATTTATCCAGAGTCACTCAGGTAGTTGATGGTTAAGATGAGATTTGAACCCATACTCAAAAGCTTGTGGTCTTTTTTACTCACCAGACTACTTAAAGAAGATTTAATTTGAGCCACTTAGGAAGTATAATGATTGTAACAATTTGTAAAAATGGTAATAATTTGGAAAAAGGGATTATAACCAGTTGAAGTTTCTTTGGTGGAAATCCTTAAACCATTTTCAACATGCTGGCTGAGCTGTGATTCTCCCTCTGTGTTGGGAACTAGAACAGATGATTAGTAAGTTTCCCTCCTCCCTCCATTCTCTGTCTCTGTGACCACAGTACCACCTCTGTGGCCAAGCCGTTAATGTGAACAGCTGGTAAATGAAACTTTCTGGTTTGTCTTAAAGCCGGATACCAACATTCAGTGTTCAGTTAGCAGTGAAGATATCGAAAAAAGCTTCAAAACAAACCCTTGTGGCTCCATTTCTTTTACTACTTCCAAATTCAGCTACAAGATAGACTTTGCAGGTATGTTTTTTTCCCTAATAGTTGTGTGTTTTTAGTATATTGATATGGTAAAATCTGTGGTTCTGAAGATCAGGATTAGTTGATATATTTGTAAACAGTGAAGTAAATCCTTTTTTGTAATACACAAAAATACCTCTATAAAAACTCAAGATTTAAGATCTACTTGAGGAACATTACCTTTTGTAAAGGAATATTTTTATGCTTATAGATACTAATGTATATGGAGATTGTCATGTTTTTTGATTTTACATAATGCTTCTCTTCTAAGGAACATAAAACACTTTTTAGCTGTTGTTTTATTCATCAAGCCATCAGTCTTTTGAAATAGATAGGAACTCTTTTATCTTAAGGATCAATCTGAGAGGTTAAGTGACAGAGTCATAGGTAGGTGGTGATAGTTTTAAGATGAAAGTTCAGCTGAATGACCCGTCTCTTGGTGTCTTTGCCAGAAAACTATTTTTTCAATGGACATTGCCTTCTGCCATTTTCTGATTTCATTGGCCCTTCCACAGATTAACCAGCTAATCTGGAAATCAGCGGCACTTTGGATTTCATTTATGATATACGGGTGTGTTTTTAGGTATCCCATGGAAAACCTGTTGGATTCAGCCCCTTCAGTTTCAAGCTGCTAGCTTTAGCTGTTTGCTGCTTAGAGGCAGACAAGACCTGGAAGGGGAGGCTTTCTTAATGCAAGTGCATTTTGGTTGCTCCTCAGTTCAGTGCTCTGGCTCTTCTTCCCCAGTGTTTGTGAGTGGTGTCTTTATGACAGAGTTAGTAGTGTGTTTTGCTGAGGTAGGGTGGTGAAACCATAGGCAAGTCCCTAGGATGAGCCAAGGCCCAGAAGTGGTGAAGGGGATTTGTCTGGTAAGAGGTTGATACAACCAAATCTGTAATGGTTATTGCCCCCCAAAGCTTTTATTTGTTTTTATCAAGAGTTAAAACCATTAGATTCTTACTCCTGACTAACCATAACTTTTTTTCATGACATTAGGCAAATAGGCTGCCTTTAACGGGTCCCCGACATTTGTCTTCCTGCTGCAGTCTAGACAGAAGGTGTCTGGTGGACATGTTAGTCTTGTGTACAGCTGCCAGTTTTGAAGCAACACTGAGACATAATGATACTCACGGGCATCAGGCTTCATGTAGAGGATGAAGTTTGTCAAAGCATATGGGATATAATCCAGCAAGACACATGTTTCTGAAAGAATATTTTCTAGTAAACTGTATCTTTTGGAAGCTTTCTCTCAGACAATGCAGTTTATTAAAAAACATCTTTATCAAAGGACAGGAGTTACATGTAATAACTCAAGTTCCCCAACCCTCTATATAATGATACTGTTTCAAAGGTATAGGTATTAGCATTTTACGTGTACTATTTGCAAAATTAGCCCCAACTGTGCTGCCACAAGCCAACTCAGGTTCTCTATAAAAATGATGAAAAGTAAAGTCAAAATGAGGTGGTATAGGAGGAAGCCACCACAGGTTTCACTCCATGTGCTGAGGCGATCTTGCTTTTTCCCTGTGTGGCTGTAATGCCAGTGTGTGCAGAGCCTAGGACAGAACAGACTTGATACAGCATTTGCCTGGGTGGGTGAACCCCTTTATTTTGGAATGGAATGATGGCAATTAGACAAGATAAACTGACTAGAATCTCATGTTAAGACTAAGTACTTAATTAACTTTGTGAGAATGAAGAAATGGACCTGATAACTATTGCCATAGCTGAGGCATAGATGAAAGAAGAAAGTGATACTTCTGGTTAATTAGTCTTTTATCACTAGAATCTCTTATATAGTCATGTGCCGCATTAGGATGTTTTGGCCAACAACAGACCACATATACGACGGTGGTCCCCTCGGATTAGTACCATACAGTCTAGGTGTGTGGTAGCCTACACCATCTAGGTTTGTGTAAGTACACTGTATGACGTTCACACAATGACACATTTCTCAGAAAGTGTCCCTGTTGTTAAGCGATGCAAGACTGTGTATGTATGTATTGAGTCTACCTAGGTTTTCTGTTTTTTGGTTTAGGTATATAATTTAAAGAGAAGGCAAGAAATGTATAAATTTTTGAAATTCTGTGAATTGTACAAGTTTTGTAATGGTAATATATCTTTTTTATCATTTTCAAAATTTTTGGAGAAATCAAAGTACATTTTCCACTTAATAAACCAACCAGAAAATTCAGTACTATAATTTCTTTCTCTTTCTAGTACTCTTAATTTTCCAAAGTTTAGACCTTTTCCATTTTAGGGTCAGTTTAACCTAAGTGTGATACAGAAAGGAATAGACCCTGCATACTGAGCAGTGTATGAGATTAGCATCCTTACTTGTGAGCTTAGCTCAGGCAGTGAAGCTGTGCTCCCTCAGCAGCACTTCTAGGAGAGGATAACTAGATACATGGTAAAGTATCCTTAGTATGCTGTGCTTGTCAGCTGCTGCCAGAGCTCCATGATTCCTGACCATCATGTAGTGCGGCTACAAATCTTCATGACAGTTTTTAGCACGTTTCTGTGATTTATCTAATATCTTTGTGTTTGTATACAGAAATGAAGCAAATGAATCTCACCACTGGAAAACAGCGCTTGATAAAAAGAGCCCCCTTTTCTATCAGTGCTTTCAGGTATTGTAAAGAGAACAGGGGTGGAAAGAGTGAGCTTCTCCTCTCCCTCTTTCTTAATACTTGATAGAGGAACAAATAGGCTGAAATGTTTGGATAGATTATTTAATGATCTTAATATCGATCTTTTCATTACTGAATTTCATATTAGTTGATGAAATAGCAATATTAGTATTTTCTGCCCGTGTTACTTTTCCTGTTATCCTTTTCACTTCCCCTTCTATATTTATACTTTTCAATTCTTTAGAACAGTTTGCATGGTAGTTACAAAATGCTGTAACCTGCTGAAGTAAGTTTGAATTAACTTGGAAATGCTCTCACAGAACCATCCAATTACTGGGGCCATAAATCCTAAGTAGTTGCCCACTTTGTCTCCACCTCCACTGATCCCCGTGGGGCAACTCCTAGAAGTAATTTTGCATCTGTGGTGACTAAAGGAGACCCAGGGAAGATGGGAGCAAACGGACGACAGCACAGCTACCTGTTCCCTGGATTTGGGTTGCGAGTTTTCCTTTGTGCCACCTCTAAGCTGTATATAGCCTGAAAAGAGAGGTGGAAGTGCCAGGAGAGAATAAGTATTTGTTTTTCATGTGAATGGAATTGAAGGGAAAAATCTTGGAGCATGTCTCCTATTTTCTGGAACGGTTCCTCAGCCAGTATTGAAATTCTTGCAATTCAAAGAATTTAAATTGAAATAGAAAAGAAAATGTTAATATATGAATTGTAGGGGATACCATTTCCTCCTTCCAAGGAGATATTTTGAAAGGATCAGAGTAAGGAAAGAAATGTTTTAAGTTTTTATCAGTTTGTTTCTTAAGACTTTTGGCTTATATTTTAGCATCATGATTTAAAGTTATTCAAGTACTTATATAATGAATGCTCTAGTACTTCCACGGAATATGAAGAATATTATATCCTTACCAGCAACATCATATCCTCATTCTTAAGCGCAAGGAATATAATCAAGGAATTACTTATCTTCAAAGGGAAAAAAATGAGACATAATAACAGAAAATGTTATTGTAACTATGTTAGTATATCTGGTATATTTTGGTGGAGAGAAGAAGCACATGATGGGGTCAAGCACTTTGTTCTGTCACAGACTATACAAACCACAGGACAAAGACAGGCGAGGGAGAGAATTGACCAGAATGGAGGCAGTAAGCAAGATAATGAAAGAGGAGGAACAGTTAGGTAGGATACAGGAGGGTGGTGAAGGTTGGTAGGTGCTGATATAGAAATGTTTATTTACTTATTACAGGAATATATTGAGCATTTATTAATACAAGGTGAATAGTACATGTTTCCTATTGGCAAGGAATTTACAATTAATTAAGGTTGTAGGCTACATAAAAATTTTAAAAAATTTCCATAGCTAAAAGATACTTTAGGCAAAGTGAAAAAAAAAACAAAAAACTGGGAAAACTATTGTTACTTATTATCATAGTCAAAGGGTTTATCTCTATAGTATATGAAGTACTTCTAGGAATCACTAAGTAAATGACCAACAACCCATAGAAAAGTGAGCAAAGAATTTGAATAGTTCATACAACCTCACTCATAATAAGAGAAATACAAATTATACTAGACTATTTTTTACTGTCAGATTGACAAAAATTCAGAAGTCTCGTAACACACTTCTTTGGAGATATTGTTGGAAAATAGGCATTCTCTATATTTCTGGTGGGAATGTCAATGAGTATAATCTTCAAGGAGGGCATTTCGGCAGTATCTGTCAAACTCATGAATAAATATATTTTTTGACCCAGAAATTCCATTTCAAAGATGTTATCCTACAGACAGACTAGTGGATATGTAAAATGAGAAATGGACAAATTTGTTCTTTGCAGCATTCCTAACAGTAGCAAGAAGCTGAAGACAAATGAAATATCATCAACAGGGAACTTGTTAAATACGTTATGGTACATCCAGACGATGGAATTCTGTGCATCTGTAAAATAGAATGCACTCATTCATTCAGCCGTACCTACTGAGTGTCTTCATGTGCCAGGCTCTTTGTGGGGACTCGGGAATGATGATTCTATCTACTGATATGGAAAGATCTCTAAGAACATATTAAGTGGAAAAAAAAAAAAAGCTGCAAAAAACATGTGTATGCTACCATTTGTGTAGGGAGAAAAATTGGCTTGTGTTAACCCAAAGAAGTTCTAGAAGAATACCCCAAAGACCAAAAACAATGATAACTTGGAGTTGGGGCAAGAGGTGAGAATAGGACAGAACAAGGACTTGAGTGGGAGGGAAACTATTCACTGTTTACTTCTTTATACTTATTAATTTTTAAATCATATGATTATATGATCTTTTCAAAAATTAAAATTTTTGAAAGCTAAAGATAGGCTTGAAATTTATGAATTTCTTCCAGTAACCTGCACTCACCAGAGAGGATTGGTATGTCAGTTTCAGCCTTTTGGCGTTAAGCCCCCCAACTTACTGTCGTCTTCTGTATTCACATCCACTGGCTTAAGCATGGTCCATAGTTTTTAGAAGTTTTGCTAACTGACTGCACTAAGTGAATAATGTGGACTGTGTAGGTGATAGTGGGCGATAAACAGAGAAAAGTTTAGGTTTAAGTTAGGTCTTTAAGGACTTTGAATGCACAGCTCAGGAGTTTTTATTTTATTTAATAGGCAGTATAAATCTGTTAAAGAGGGGTTTTTTGAATCAAGAGTTTGATTTTCTTCTTGTAAATTCTTTTTCTTTATCTAAAATCTTCCTTACATTTTAAAGAAATTCTGGCAATTTTAGAAAAACGAAGCAGAATTAAACAATTGTTTTTGAAAATTTGGTGTTATGTAGGGTTGGATGTTTTCCATCAAACTTCTCAATTCAGCACCTAAAATGTAGCACACAGTAGACATTCAATAAATATTTTAAACCAAAGAAACCAGGAGGCTACACTTAATTGCATTTGTTACAATACCTTAAACGTGAAAATTTAGTTTTGGAGAAAAGGCTAAATTCTTGGCAATAATTATAATCAACTTCTAATATTTTGTTTTGTCTTTTGCTATTTAAAGTTATATCTGTGAAAACGAGGCTATCCCCATGCCAGCACACTGGGAGAATGTGAATACTGAAGTACCCTATCAGGTAAGAGCAGAACTGACTACACTGTGCAAGAGATTGGAAAGGACCCCAATAAAACTGTGCAAACTTCTTTTTCCAGCTTATTCCTTTGCACAATCAAACACATGAATATAATGAAGTTGCTAGTCTCTTTGGGAAAACAATGGATCGCAACAGAATTAAAAGAATTCAGAGAATTCAAAACCTAGACTTGTGGGAGTTCTTTTGCAGGTGAGACAGTTTCTAATCTGAACCCTCTCCTTGACCTCTAAGACTTTTATAGTTTTAGAGACAGTGAAGCACAAATGTTGAATTCTGTTAATTTTCAGCGATGCCGTATGAACCGTGTAGATGTGCTGTGTTTCTCTCGTGCCGTGTTTTGCTCTAGTCTCTCAGCTTTCTTCTTCAGCATTCTTGGAGTCAGAGAGAGCTGCTCTGTAAGTAAACGCAGGCGTCGCTTACAACGTTGCAATGCGATGCTGGAGGTCAAAGTCTCTCCAGCACTTCCAGAAGCTCTCTGCTCTCAAGCTTTGGGACTGTGCACCTTGGCTGACATTAGCATTACAGAGGAATCCGGGGAACTGTTTAATTTTGTTGATAGGACTTTGTTGGCTCAGACTTTTATGTTGAATTAGAAGTCTCTGGAAACACTGTTGAATTTTTTTTTTTTTTTTAATAATTATACTATTTTGCCTGTAGTCATTCACTTGTTTAGTTTTGAAGGACATTGTAAAAAATACCTTCAAATTTCCTGCTTAGCTCAAAGTTTATGTTGTAGGTTCAATATCTCAATTAATTACTCAGTTTGGGCTGGAAATGACTCATTGGATTGCTCAGTGTGCACTTAACCTAAAAATAAAGCCCATTACAGAAAACTTAAAGGTATTATCCAAATTAATCTTTTATGCTGCATTTTTTTATAACAAGTGTTACTTAAATAAGTGATTTTCTGAAATATATTAAATTTGTGTATGAGATTTGATTTTTAATATTTTTTAATATAAACAGACCTTTTAATATTTATTCAGGAAAATTTCAAGTAATAGAGTTTAATATAAAGAGCCCCTGTGTATCCACTACCCTGATTTAACATTTATCAAGATTTACTGCACATAATTTATCTCCTTTTTTGCTATTATTGTTGTTGCTGAAGTATTTTAAAGCAAATCCGGGACCTTAGCTCATTTCATTCTCATATACTTGAAAATCAGGCTGACTCTTGTTTGGTAATGGTACATGGAGTTCTTTCCTGCTTCTGTGAAGTCAGTTATATGGCCTGAGTAAATTCCGGGTTTTATTCTCATAGTAGTTTATATTATAAAATAAGGGGTTTTCAGCTTGTATTCTTTATAGTCTTGAGTCTTTGGACCAAGCCAACTTTTATTGCTGACAATACTGAGTTTCACTGAGTTTAAAAGGTTTTATTCAGTTCTTGTTTGGATGATTCTGTTGTAGAGGAAGATGGAAACCTCCCTCCCCTTTGGTTTTATTCTCTCAGCGAATAAAGTAAGCTTTTCTAAAATGGTCAGATGAAAACTTAATTCGTTATTTGTAATCAGGCCTCTGAAGTGGAGTTCATATTCGTCTCCCTCATAATTTGAGTCTTCAATTAAATCCTAGTGGTAAGAATGTACCAGTGAATCCCCAAAATATCTTATACTAAGAATTTCACTGGAAATGGTTTTATTCTATCGATGCGCTTTATGATTTTATGTGATGTCGGCCTATAGAAATCTGTGATGGTAAAGGAACCTGCCACCTGCTATGACAGAAAATACTGAGTCTCACTGTAAGGGCAACCTGTCATTTTGACATGTGCCTGAAGAACTAAAATAACATAGTCAATCTCACTGTCATGTAACCTGTGACTCACTCTGTAGGCAATGAGGCCCACGTGAGTCCATCAGGCATCAGTTTGCATGTCGTCCAGGCCTTTCTTCCTTCCTCCCTTCTTCCAACAAATATGTTTTAGCACCTACTTTGTGACAAGCACTCTTCTAGGCACTTGGGATATAACAATGTACAGGACCATAGCTTAGACAAAGAGCCAGACCATTGCACCACAAAACATAGAGGTGAGCACAGAGCATCCTGGGAGCATGAAGTGAGGGTATCTATTCACCCTGGGTGACAAAAGGAAGATGTATGTTGTGGGGCGGGAAGTATCGTGGAGCACTTGCTAAAGCAGGTATTATTTAAGCTAGACACAGGTAGGAGAGGGGAGGGGCATCCTAGGCATCAGGAGCCGCATGGGCCAAAGTTTGATTACAAGAGGGAATGTAGAACATTGAGATAATTTCAAATACAACAAAAAATAGGATGAATGGTTAGAGAAGATGCTAGAAAGGTACTCGAGGTAGAGCATGCAGGCGTGTATAGTAGAACTGCTGGGGTGGTTGTATGATTGTCTTCAGTAGCCTTACTTGAGGTGGACTGATCCAGAGTTGAGGTCAGAGAGTTAGCAGGGGCCAGGCCATGCAGGGCCTTAGAAGCCAAACTAAGGGGTTTGGTTTTACTTCCTGAGACAGTGGAAAGCCATTGTAAGACTTGAAGCAAGAGAGTGATGGATCTGATTTGCATTTTAGAAAAATAATTCATGAGGCTCTACTGTGGAGAAGGAGTTTAAAGCAGTGGTTCTCGATTAGGAATGGTTTTGCCCACCAGGGAACACTTGGCAAGAACGGGAGACATTTTTTAATATCATGTGGTGGGGTGGGGAGATACTACTGGCATCTACTGGGTAAAGGCCAGGGATGCTAACCATCCTACAATGCACAAGACAGCCTCCCACACAAAGAATTATCCATCCCAAAATGTCAGTAGTGCCAAGGTTGAGAAACTGGTTTAAACACAGTTTCTCACAGTTAGAAGCAGGGAGACCAATTTAGGAAATTGTTGTTTTTAAGACATTGTAATTAAACTGAGACACATTGGGTGACCTGAATCAAAGTGGTATCTGCAACATTGGAGTGAAGAGGACAGTTTTGAGACACTAAGGACGCAGAATGTTATTGCTTGGTGCTTGATTTAATGTGTGCGATGGAGTGGGTAAGGGAGATGGGAAAAACAACTCTGAAGTTTCTGACTTGTTTGTTTTAATTGACTAAGGGAAAATGGGTACAAACAGATTTTGGTCTGGGAAGGATGAAGAGAGAGGAGTAGTTGATATATAGATTGAGAGCTCAGAAGAGTGGTATAGACTAGAGATAAAGGTTTTGGAATTGTTAAGAAATGTGGGGCAATAGAAGCTATAGGAATGGATAAGATGACCAGGGAGTTTTTGTAGACTAAGCAAAGAGGGCCAAGGACTGAACTCTGGAAGGAATGGACAGAGGAAGAGAAAACCCAAGGAAGAAACTGAGTAACAACCACAGAAAGTGGAATAAAACCAATATAATGTGGAATCACAGAGGCCAAAGGAAGAAAGTGGTTTATACAGGTAGATGTCATCCTCAGGGTCACATACAGAAGAGATGTCAAGTAAGATAAATATTGAAAATATCCTGTGGATTTTGCAACAAAAAGCTCATTGGTACCCTTGATTAGGGCAATGTTGGTAGATGCTATACTGTGTTTACAGCAAATGTTGACAACTCTTTCAAGAAGCTTGGCAGTGAAGAGAATGAGAGATGTGAGAAGATGGGTAATATGGAGTTGGGAAGGGTGTTTTTGTTTTCTTATGTGTTCTGAATTTAAAGACGGGAGAGAAATGAGCATGTTTAAATTATAATAGGAAAGAACTTATGGAGACAGAGAGTTTAAAAGACAGGAGAGAGAGGGGAAGGGTAATTGATGGATTAAGGCTCCTAAAGAGGTTTCTTGGGATGGAATTCAGAGAACATATGTCAGAAGGAGATAGACGAGGGTGGTCCACTTATGTTTATAGATACTGTCATGTGTCGCTGTATGACAGGAATATGTTCTGAGAAATGCACCCATTAGGAGATTTCGTCATTGTGTAAACATCATAGAGTTTACTTACACAAACCTAGATGGTATAGCCTACTACACACCTAGGCAGCACGTTACTAATCTGTAGGACCACTGTCATACGTGCAGTCCGTCATTGACCAGAACGCCCTTATGCATGCATGCCTGTAAGTAGAGGTAGGGGATGAGGAGAGGACGTAGTTTAGGGAGTTCCCTCCTGATACTTTCTGTTTCTTTGGTGAAATAAGAAGTGAGGTCACCTGCAGAGAACAAGGTGTTAGGAAAGTGTGGAGAAGAGGGAGAGGTAGAGGAAAAATGGAGATTTGAAATGGCCACTGTGGAATGTGGAATCCCAGAGCTAACCTGGGAACCACAGAATTTCCCTCAGTGTTGAGGGTTTCCCTAAAGCTGGAATATGTGAATTTGTAGTGGAAACCATGGGGATGTTGTTTGATTTATTTCAGCAGTCCAAATTTAAGAGCAGAGAGGGGAGGTGGTTGGATTGATCCGGGTTGGGAAGGATAAGGCAGCAAGGGAGTAAGAGCACTGAATGCTGCTACCTGATTAAGAATGTGGATTTAGATCACAGGTGCTCAGCCCTGGCTGCGTCTCAGAATCAGTGGAGCTCTGTAACGAAGCAGAGATTATCTATCACCCATCCCGATCCACTGAATCAGAACCTCTGTGTTCTGACATTTTTATCTTTAAAAAGTTCTACAGGTGATTCTGATGTTCAGACAGGATGGAGAACCACTGGTCTAAACCTAGGCAAATTTCTTTCAACCCAGAGCATGAAGACATTCCTGCTGCAGTTCAGAGTATGTAGCTACACGACTTAGCCGTTTTGGCACTCTAGTCCCTGACCGGGTGGGTAATTTTAAGACATCTTTCAGAGGTGGGTGATACGGTATTTTCATTCAGTTCAGAAATGAATGTGGGGCAAAGGTGGACAGGGCTATGAAGAACTTAGTGTAGTTTGAATCCTGTGACTCTTCCCAAAGGTTTAACTGAAGTCTGAGAGGCCCTGGAACTCAACGTTAGCCTTTCTGGAACATTAAGGTGTTCACTCACCAAGTATGTGAGTCTCCACACTTCATGGGTGCTTGAGTAGTGGGCACTAGAATAAACCATGCTGTGGGGATGCACAGCTTTGACCACTCCATCCCACTCTGCCTTCAACTGGTTTATATGCTGCATCCAGTCCAGCAACTGAGCAGGTTTTCAGTGCTCACTCCTCCGGCCCTTTAACTAACCAACACTTCATTTATAATATCTGAGAGAGACTCGAGTGAATTTTCAAACAAAATTCATTCTAATCTGTGCCTGGAAAGTAGTGATGAGTGCATATCCTGATTTTAGAGTGGATTCTAGTCATTACAGACATGAAGCTTGACATTAGAAGGATATGTATTAACTAAATATTTATTTAGAAAAAAACAGTATGGGTTCACTAATGCCCAACTAACTAAGAGGATTACCATAGTGGTAGATGGGTGAGCGCCTTAGTCTAACTTGATTTCTACAAAGCGTTTGAGAAAGGTTCTTATGATGGAGACAAGGTAGAGAAATGTGTACCAGGTGATAGTATAAACAGAAAAATTAATACCCAGTTAAAAGTCTTATGCAAAGAGTAACTTGAATGGCATGCATGCTTCCTTCTTGAGCCCTTCAACATTTTTATCAGAGATTTAGATGAAAATGTAGAAGGCATGCTTATCACACTTGTGAAAGATTTAAAACTAGAAGCGGTAGCTTATTTGTTGTGTGAATGAATCAGGAGTCAAAAAGACCTTGGAAGACTGAAACAGTGAGTCAAAAAAAATATGATTATCATTTTTAAAAAAAGATTTTTTTTCTTAGAAAAGCAACAAATGTGCATTGTAAAAAAAAAAAAAAAGACAGTACATAAAGGTCTAAGAAAGTTGGCATAATTTGTTTTTAGTGAAAACACCAATACTGGCTTTTTCTGAAGTAAATATTTGTTTAATGCACATTCTTCTAATGTCATGCTTAATGGTCTGAAAATACTCTCACCAATGAATTAAAGCATATACAATTAATATACATATTGCCAGATGACTCTTGAGAAAGGCCATATACGTTTCCATTTCTCGCATCATTTAAATGCAAGTATCCAGTTTTAAATGCAAATATCCAGTTCCCCCACATAGTCACTAAGCTGCATGTTGTTTATAAATTCTGTAGTTTTAAAATTACTAGATCAAGGTAAAACTTAATTGAAATAAATATACTGTGTTAGGTTTATAAATCAGTTGTACAAATATAACAAGCCAAGAGAAGTCTGGTTTGAGAACGTCCTGGGAGTTTTAATTGACTACAAACTTATGTTAAGTCATCAGTCTGAGACCCTGCTGCAAAATGAATGAATTCAGTGGTGTGCCACTAGTCAGCGCTGACGATATCTGAACGCTGTTTCTGTTTCTCACCAACATTTGTCAACTGGAGGGTACCCAGCAGATTCTTGTCAACTAAACCTGTTCAGGATGGAGAAGGGCCTGCCTGGAAGCTATGCTATATGAGGAATAGTTGAGGGAATGGTGTATATTTAACCTAGAGAGGAAAGCCTAGGTCAATGTTCCTAGTTATTTTTGGATATTTGCGGAGTTGTTTTGTATAAGAGTATTTGAATTGTTCTGTGTTCAGAAGAGAATAACTAAGACCAATCAGTAGAATTAACAAGAAGGCAGATTTTGGTTCAGTGCTGGGGTAGATGTACTTTCTAACAGTTACAGATGATCACAAATAGATTGTACTGTCTTGCAAAGCGGTGAACACTTGACTCTGAAATGAATTAAAGCAGGCATTAAATAGCTACCTGTTAGAGATATAATGGGGGAGGGGATTATTTTAATTTTTAAAACATCTTTTTTATGAAATATCTAAAAAATGAAAATGCAGCAATTTATAGATACCCATGTGCCTGCCAATCAGATTTATTTAATATTTTAATATTTGTCACATTTTCTTCATCTTTGTATCTGGGTTTTCTTTAAAGATACAAAGCATTAAACATACAGGTGAAGCGTTTATACCCCATCCTCATTCTGTTCTCCTTCTTTCCTCCTGAGGTTGGAGTGATGCCTTCCTGTCCATATTTTTATATTTTTTACTACCTATGTATATATACCTATACAGTGCAGTATTATTTTGAGTTATATGTCTCTTTTTGCAACATTCTTTGTACATTCAACATTATTTTTCAAGAGTTATCTGTGTTAATATATGTAGATCTAGTTCATTACTTTTAACTTTCATGTATAAATATATAATTATTTATTCATTTTTTTATGAAGGAATTTTGGACTGTTCTCAGTTTGTTTGTTTTTTACTGTTACAATCAGTCCTACATTGAATATCTTTTTATGTGTTAGAAGAGATTGTCCATTGGGAAAGGAGTTGAACTAGATGGCTTCATGTCTCTTCCAGCCCTAAGATTCAGACTTCAGTTCAATTCAACCAACAGTCTCTGGGGATAAAAAGATTAAGACATGGTCCCTGCTTAAGTAATTCGCTGTTTAAAGACTCTGTAAACATTGTATTATTTAAATGTTTGTAGTGTCATTTTTAGGCATCTATAAAGCTTGGCTGGTTTAGGCAATCAATCACCTTTGCTATGATGGGGCATTGTCTGGGAGAGCTGTAGTTTTTGGTATAATTTTCAACCTTAAGTTTCAATGTTAACTTATAATTTTTTTTTTCATCTTTATACTTTTTTTCTTTGTTTTTTTTTTTTGAGGAAGATTGGCCCTGAGCTAACATCTGTTGCCAATCCCCCTCCTTTTTTTCTCTTTTTTCTCCCCAAAGCCCCAGTAGATAGTTGTCTGTCATAGTTGTACATCCTTCTAGTTGCTCTGTATGGGACACCACCTCAGCATGGCTTGATGAGCGGTGCTTAGGTCTGCGCCCAGGATCTGAACCCGTGAACCCCAGGCTGCTGAAGTGGAGCACGCAGACCCAACCGCTACGCCACCAGGCCAGCCCCTTAACTTATAATTTTTGATGAGATTATTTATGTGTCCAAGAGCATTCAAGATTATTTCTTTTCCAGAGCTGCCGTGTCTACTTATGATTTATGTTCAAAAAGTATTTTCTGTTTCACCCTTTCTATTGAACTTTGCTCCTTGAAAAATTAATAAATGCCACTTATGATATATTTCTGTGTGTGTTTTGTGTCTATATGTATTGTGTTTTTAGGAAAAAGGCTCAACTCAAGAAAAAAAGAGGTGTGCCTCAGATTAATGAGCAAATGTTATTTCATGGTACCAGCAGTGAATTTGTGGAAGCAATTTGCATTCATAACTTTGATTGGAGAATAAATGGTATACATGGTGCTCTCTTTGGAAAAGGTAATTATCAGAATTCCAGGTCCAATTTCAGTCCTAGGAAACATTCTCCTCTCTTTAGAGATAATTGATTGTGTTGTAATTCAGGATTTGATAGTCATTAAGTTCAAAGTTACTGTACTTTTAGGTTCCTGGCACACTCTCAGAATTTCTGAGCCACAGAAAAGCCACTTCCTCCATGAATAAGGTGGAAGTCAGACTTTTACATTTCACCCTACATTTTACGTTTCAGCTTGGATTAAATAGCTCGCCAAGTCTCAGTCATTTAGATGGGGTATCATGTCCATATTAGCTGATTTTTGCATTACATTTAATTTTCATGTATAAGTCCTTGTCATGGATAAAACTAAACTGTTTTATGTCAAATATATAGAAAACTATAAAATAAATTAATTACATTGTGCACAGGTCTAGGTACTAGTATTTTTTGTTTGTTTTGTTTTTTAGAAAATGATAGGTAAGAATATTAATGAGCGATAAGGAATAATGGGGGAAATCCTCACCTTTTTTTTAATGTTGTGAACGTCCAAGTTCTTCAGTTTATGCCCACTCCTCAAGCAAATTAAGGAGAGAGGTGAGGGGAAAAGGTAAGGGATGGACATCTATTTTCTGGTCCTTACTTTGTACCTTACCTCCATCAAGAGAACTGACTACCAATTAGGATCAGGATGTGCTTCATTTTTAAAAAGTAAATTAATTTTTAAAATAACTACTGAAAAGGGCATCCTATTACTGTAAGAGGATCTGAAAAGTATTACATAAATCCCATCAGTATTGGGTAATACTGTATGAGACTTAGCAATTCATTTCCAAAATTTTTTAGAGTAAGTATTCCCTTAATGATGTCCTTCTCCGTGGCCTAACATTTGAGAAGAGTTGGATGCTTTATTGAATTTTCATATTTAGGCAATGAACCAGTGAAATTGTTCTTTTTGAGTGCTCAGATGTGAAGAGCATTGCACTCTCTTGAGAAATCTTTTCCTGGATATAGGGTTCTATTATTTCCAGAAATACTATTGAATGATTACCCGTATCATAGAAATGTGGTTTCTTGAGGTTTGAAATAGTCTCTGTAGACCAGTAGTTTTCATTGTGCTCTCCAGAGCTTCAGTGGATGCTGGACAAGGGTGGCAGGGTAAGGAAAGTGGTGGAAGGAGATAGAAATGGGAGGGAGGTCCAAGTAGTTACAGCTGGGATCCTGCTACACTTTTAATCACAGAAACAATTTGTATCTGTCTTACGTGGTACATTTCTTTGTAAGATTTCTTTTGAAAACACAGTTCTGGTAGCTACATTTTGGAGGGGGTGGGGATGGTGTTGGAGGTGGAGACTGATCTGTACTAACAGAACAGTCCCTGTGGCAGCCTGCATCACGGCTGTCCATTACAGATGGATTTCTGTTCTTTTCTGAAGGACCCACAGATGAGGAAATTCCACGTTGAATTTTGTTATACAGTTCCAGGTTTATGTTCCCCTAACAATTAGAGTGTTTTTGCTTGTTTTTCGTATATTCTTCAGAATAATCTTGGCTTTTTTTGGTCCTTTTTGTTTAAGGAACCTATTTTGCTAGAGATGCTGTTTACTCCAGTCGCTTCTGCAAAGATGACATAAGGCATGGAAACACATTCCAAATTCATGGTGTAAGCTTGCAACAGCGGCATCTGTGTAGAACGTATAAATCTATGTTTCTTGCTCGAGTGCTAATTGGAGATTACATAAACGGAGACTCCAAATACATGCGACCTCCTTCCAAAGACGGCAGCTATGTGAATTTATATGACAGCTGTGTGGATGACACCTGGAATCCAAAGATCTTTGTGGTGTTTGATGCCAACCAAATCTATCCTGAGTACTTAATAGACTTTCATTGATTTCACTTCCAAATATTCGTGGTCAAGGAAGTTTTATTCTCTTTTGCAGGAAGATTTGCTCTCCTGTCATCTAGCCACTTAATGTTAATTATCTGATTCTTTTGAAACAGATATGAAAAAAGTGGCCTCCATATAAAAAGACATACTGACTTTAAGGTTGGTTTTTTGTTGTTTTGTTTTTGTCCGTTACTCATAGTCTTGTTTGTTAAAGATTGATACCATTGCCATTTTAACATATGGGGTGAAAGGTACCACTCAAAATTGAATCAGCTGAGTCTCAATTAACATGGTCATTCAGAGTCTTTAAAGTTTACGTGTATGTTATCAGGATAAATGTTTTCAGTTCAAATAGACTTATTCATATAAATCTTCAAAAAATAAAATGTAGACATACATCTGTCCCTTCAGAGGAATTGATCCTTTGTAAATTGAATTCTGATGTTATTGTCCACCAATCAATATACTGCTTTGTTGATCTTCTGAAGGGGGGGTTTAAAACCTTGAAGCAGTCTGAGTACCTTGAGAGAAATCACAAATAAGGCAGTTATTTGCAGTGCTGCCAAACCAGCCAGAAGGAGGAAGTCAGGGTAGAGTGCTGTTTCCAATACTTTAGGATAGTGGCTGCAGTCTCAGACCTGCTCAGGTCGTGCTCTTCTGTTTCCTACATCTGGATTGATGTAGACTAGAATTGCCGCAGACTACAGTTAGTCTAAAGTTCATCCACCGGGGCTCTTGAATTCTTGTACCAAGACTTGCTGCAGAAGGTGTTTATTGCATCTTCAAAGTGAAACTTGTATTTATTATTCAAAACATTATTTACGTTTTGTTTTGGGGTCCCTACAATAATTACTTCCAAGATATTTTTATCTGCTCCCTCACACAGCTATTCAACAATGATTTATAAAATTCACATTTCTAAGTTGTATCTTCCCATTTTGAATCATTGCAGAAAGCCTGAGATGTTTGGAACAAATCTGGTTTATTCCTTTGTGTAGCAATTGACAATCTGCTAACTCTCTTGAAAAGTTAGATACATTTCATAACTGTGGTTAATGGAAGTTAGTTTACCTGTTCCATCTGTTTTGCTGTTCTATTCTAAGGAGGAATAAGGAATGTTGGAACAGCTTCCTGCCCCTAAAAGTCTTTTAGCAGAGGCTGGACAACAACTTGGCAGAGATATTTTACAGGAGTTCAGGTATCAGATGGGGAAATTGGCCATATGATTGTCGAGAGTTTTTCTAACTCTGATTTTCCTTGATTCTACCTGAAAAAAAAGAACGCCTGTATCAAGCCTTTCCGAGAAAACCTTTTTCTAACTCAATCTAATATTGAATTCTCTTTCTGTTATCCTCATCCAGTTTTGGCTAAGAGGTAGTGAACATAATTAAACTTCTCAAGAAAAATCCAGTAAATATGCATGCTTGTGCTGTCCAGTTCAATCATTTGAATTGGGAAGGCATCTAGAAATAGCAAAAATAAAAGAGTATAGAGCAAGATTAGGTATGGTAATTCTTAAACTGCCATATATCCCCATATTTTTGTTATAGCTCAGGATACACGTTATTGTGCCGTCGAAAGTAAGTGGTACACAGGAAATTGCTTGTACAATATTTTGAAACCAAGTCACAACAAAGATTTCCTGACTCAGATGTGCAGACTAACAGCCAGTTTAGATGAAGTGCTGTGGATATTTGAGAGAAAACGTTTTAGAAACATGCAGACTTCATGGTGGAAATAATTGGAGGAAAACTCACTAGGCTGCCTTGTGAGAGGTGCACACCGTTGCTCTTGATGTGTTCACAAAAAACATGTTAGAGACATTAGGAATTCAGATTTTGAAAATCTTTTGTTCTATTTATTTGTTATTTACGTACCGAATACTATTAAAATAGTCCCCAGTTCAACATGGTTATCTTTTTTCCGCTTGAACACGATTGCCTCTCCCATCGCTTGAATGGAATAACTGTTGTAGCCACTGGGGGTTATTTTTCTTTTAGACATGTGCAGATCTTATCTCAAGGCGACTAGCAGCCCAGAGTTGAGACTTGCAAGGCAGTCTGTGGGAACTCTGACCTTAGCTCATTGGCTTATGCATAATAAGTAGAGTGCACTGCAGTAGACGTTGTGAGAAAGAATGCTACTGTTATTCCTGTCTGAGAAGGCGCAGCCAACTCCCCGTTTATAAGAAAGAGCTGATTTTGATCAATTTTTTAAATGTGGTAGTGTAGAGTTAATTGATGTTAAAATTCTATTTCTTTGTTTTGATCAGTAGGTCAGGTTGAGAGTCATATCGTCGGTGTATAATAAGACGGGACACAACCATGTGCCGTCTTTCCCTCTTGTCATCACATAGTATGGGTGGGCAAGGTGAAGAGAAGCCATTCCAGGTTAATGAATAAATGACTTAATTCTACATTGAATAAATTCCAGCTGATACTGACTTTTCGTTTTCACTTTGGTGATATCAGCATCAGGATTAAAAAAATGTATTTATAAGAAACAGTTTTATAAATCTTGCCGTTATGAACAGGAACGTTTTGTGTTAGTGCACCTTTTGTTTCTAGGCAGTTATGGTGGTGATGATAAAGAATTTGGAGCCATTTTTGATATGTTCTTTTTTACGTGTGATGATTCAGGCTTTCTGTAGCAGGTCTTGCTTGTCTGTGTATGCCATATATTTGTTTCTGTGATTTCTGTGTCTCATCTCTCCACTTGTATGATTTAAACCTAAGTTTTCAGCTCAAACTTAATGGAATTTCAAGGAGTTTGTTGCCTGTAACTCTTATGTAACCTATATGCAGATGGGGGGAAGTCTCTTGTTCTCAGTTTGAATCATCTAGAGCACAGCTAATCAAATAACCTATGGGAAAAATCATTTACTCTGTGCTCTTGAAAATTCCAAAATAGAGGAAGGCCTGGCACCCACAGCATCCTTTACTCTCAGCATGCTCCCTGGCTTAGAGGAGCAGTTCTGGAGGGTGTGTCTACACTCCCCCGAGGAGCATGCTTTCTGCAATCCATCCAACCTCCAGTCACTCCTGGTAGGTCCACAGTAATGCCTTTTGAAGCGAGTTAGACATTTCATTTAATCTTAAAGCTTCTATTGGTAAAAAGGGAAGGTATCAAAAGATATCTTAATTTTAGAGCTGAGACAAGTGAGGGACAGAATGATCAAGGCTTACCTGTGGAAACAAATCAAGTTTTCCATTTACAAAAGTCGTGTCCCAGGCTGTACAAATGTTGGACTATTCTCAAGACTCATTGTGATGAAAATTCAACTGAACCTTGGTTGATGATGTAGAAATGTGACATCGTTACAAATTTTGTTCCTAGGCCATTCAGGTATTTGAGGTCACCTCCCAGGTCGTGAGGAATAACTCTAGAAAGAATCGTATAGTGGTCCCCCTTGTGCGTTAGTCCCAGATTGTCCATGCTCTTTTGGGAAGGATGTTTTATTTTTAAATAAACATTTTATTTTGTCTAAAACAAAGAGTCTATTTCTAGATGAAATTACACATTCTGTACTTGTAAAGAGAAAAATAAAAACTAATGAAAAAATAGCAGAGAAAAGAAAAACAAAAGTCTTGTCAAAAATTAGTTTTGGTTAGGGGCCAGCCTGGTGGCACAGACGGTTAAGTGTGCATGCTCCACTGCGGCGGCCCGGGGGCCTGGGGTTCGCCAGTTCAGACCCTGGGTGCGCACCAACGCACTGCTTGGTAAGCCATGCTGTGGCAGTGTCCCATGTAGAGTGGAGGAAGATGGGCACGGATGTTAGCCCAGAGCCAGTCTTCCTCAGCAAAAAAAAAAGAAAAATTAGTTTTGGTTAGAAACTTGAGCAAAGTGGTTTTACTTTTTTTTTTACCCCTCTCCACTCTATGCAGGAAGAGGTTTGGTGAAATAAGTTGCCCTGCCTCACTTCCCGTGAATAATTTTATGATGTTGCTTGGGGCAACACTGATAGAAGAAATGCACATTTCAAAGAAGTATGAAGTACACGATTCTTTGGGGGCTGCTGGTTAGTGTGACTACTAGATATAGGAGAGGGGAGCCCTGAGTATCTAGGAAACACATTCCAACTTTATCCACTAACCTTCGCTTTTTCGCAGAGGTGGTTTACCTGTGTTATCATGGACTCCGGGCTGGGAGGTGGTTTGGAGATTGTGTCGTCTCTCTCTCCCCCTGCCCCCTTTCTGTACTGACCTGTACTTGATCCATCCCAGGTAGAAAGCTGTCTTGGTGATTCCTAACACCCAGACAGTAACTCCTTGCTGTAACTGATCTAAGTCTCCTCCTGTAAGAGTGTGTAATTCATTTTCTCAGCTCTAATTGCTTGGCTTTCATTTTTCAGTACTGCAGGCTAAGGACTTGGCTTTTATTTGAACTTTCCCACTGTGTGGCTATGTATCTAAGAATTTAGTATTGGTCTTACTCATTTTTAAGTGGCTTCTCCTGAGAGTGGAACCTAGGGTTATGCCAAAGACGTTTGTGTTTTCTGCAGCTTTTTAGCTTTGCTGTACCCTCTACCAAGAGGCCATACAGCAAGCTGACTCTGACTCTGGGTTATGCTGACTTCACTGTGGTGAACCAGCTTAGGAGAGTCACAACCCAGAGTTTAATTCAAATCATTGCTGCAATATTAATTGTAAATCCAGATCGTACTCCTTGTGTTTTCCTGTTCCTTTTTAAGAAATACCTTTTCCTGAAGGGCTCATTATGCTTTAATGTCTCCTAGATAACATGTGAAAGCTACAGGCGTTGTAAGTCCATATTTGATTAACATTCTTAGAGAATCAGTGTTCGAGCACTGTTGCTTCTCTTTATTCCTTTAAGAAGATCAGGCACCATCTTGGGAGCCGCTGATCTGAGTTTTATTTCTAGCTTTGATGCTTGACTCAGTGTGACCTTGAATAACTAACTCACTGGGGCGGCCAGGGGCAGGTTCGCTTTTCAGAAGGTGAAGTTTATGAAGGACTGCTCAGACTCTTGTTAAAAGAGAAAGACCTGATAGAGCATGGCTACATTTCTGTGGGCAACCTCTGCCCCAGCTGAGGACGATTTTTCAGTCTGAGTCTAAGAAAATACAGTAGCAGGGATCATGATGCAAGAAGCAAGATCAGGAAGCAAGAGTTTGGAATGGAAGGGAAAGGAGTTGACCTGGTTCTCCCTGAATCTCTACTGCCATTCAGTTCCCCTTTCCCCTTCCAGCTCACAGCTCAGATCCTGCGGTGTGCCAGGCAGTGAGCAAGTCACACATGGCCTCTGCCCTCATGGACTTCAAGTCTAGCAGAGAGAACATATACTGAACTCTAACAAGAGTGATGAGCTTTACCAAAGGGGAAGTTGAGGCCACTGTGAGAGCCTGTGACAAAGGGATCTAGCCTATTCTAGGGAATCAGAGAAGGCCTCCCTAAGAAGTGGCATTTGAATGTGGAAACCTGAAAGATGAGTAGGTGTTAATTAGGTGAAAGGTTGATTTTACATCTCCCTGGCCACACCCAACTATGCCACACCAAGCTTTGGGGAGATGAGAAAAAACAAGATGTGGGCTGGAAGCAGATTGGAGGATTTTTTTATCATTAAAATTAAGGTGACAGAATCAAAGCCACTGAAAGAACCAGAATGTGTTGCCCCCAACCCCTACACCTGGCCCTGCAGGTCAGCCGTAAGGGAATGAGAACCAGCGCCAACGGGTACATGGAACGAGGAGCAGGGATTTTTATAACTTACTAAGAGGATCGAGATGCTCTTTAGATAGAGGTGTTCCTTCTTGTCCCTGTGCCTTTGCTCATGTCTTGTTGCCTCCCCCCAGAACACATACTCACATACGTACTTCCCTCCTACCTTCAGAGTCCTATTTATCTGAAGCATGCACTCTCGAGTCAGATGACCAAGTTGAATCCTGGCTCCATCACTTGCTGTCTGACCTTGGGGAGGTTACTTAACCTCTCTCTGCT